TAATTAAAATTTATTTTTAATAGCATAGAATACTAAAAAATATACATAATTTAATTAATTAATGAATCAACCTCCCTATCCACCCCCAAATTATCCACCACAACCAGGATAAACTTAGTTAAATTATCCTCCATAACCAGGATATCCAACATAACCATAACCAGGATATTAACCATAAGGTGGTTATCCTCCTTAGACTGGATATCCATCATCATAATAAGGATATCCACCTCAATAAGGATATCCACCATCATAATAAGGATATCCATCATCATAATAAGGATATCCACCGTAATAAGGATATCCACCATAATAAGGATATCCACCATCATAATAAGGATATCCAACTTAATAGGGATATCCAACTTAATAAGGATATCCAAGTTAATAAGGATATCCACCATAATAATATTTAAGATGTAAAAAAATATTTTAAATTAATCAGAGGTGTAATTTGTTGTCAATGCTTGGGCTTTTTTTACTAACTTCCCAGTTACAATAACAATAGATGATAATCAATATGTTGATACTTTAGTTAGAAATGCTTGCTCATAAGCATAAATAAATTACAATGCTGTAAAAGGATTAAAAATCAAACCAGGTTAATCTAGAAACTAAAATGTCAAGGTTAATTATTTATATTAATTTTAGGCTGAAATTATTCCTCCAAATTTAACGATAGCTTAAGTTGCTTATTAACATTAAAAAGGAAATGAAAAAATATAAGTTTAATTAGACTTGATGCCATAAATAGGTTAACTTATAAAACCATCTCCTAAAATAACTGGTTTTGATTATCCAACTATAGATCATTTAAAATAAAATCCAAGAGCTCTTGGAGAAACAGTATGTGCTATGTTGAATAGTGAAGGTGGAATATGTTTAATTGGATTAGGTTAAGATATGAAAATTAAAGGAGTAATGGTACCAAATACAAAATAAGAAATCTCATAAACTATTATTTCCTTACTTAAAGATCATATCTATCCTCCTGGATTTTAATCATTAATTAAAGTATTTGATTCAATCATTCTAATAGACTAAAATACATCCCATTATTGATTAAAATGGTAATAAAACTCACTTATCTGGACTTATTGTTTAAGTAAATAGATGTACTAAACCAGATATTGCCTTTACACATGATTATGTTTTTTTCTACAGAAAGGGAAATGCTAATGAAAGAGCATATCCACATGAAATAACTAATATTCTAAGATAGAAAAAAGGAAAAAATGCTAAATAGTTTGTTTTATCATTTAATATTTGATCTATTGATTGATCCTATTTTATATTAATATTATTTCTAATCAATATTATTTTGTTTCTTTAATAATTATTGAATTTTATCACTTTTTATTATTAATTTAAATTATAATTGGATGTATCCATATTTCTGATTATTTTAACTGTCGACAATAATTAAATGACAAATAACATGACGTACTAAAAATTTAATTACGCACAATATAAAAGATTTAATAATTTTAGGTCAGTATTTATTTATTTTAATGTTACGACCGTAAACAAACTAATAAGAAAAAAACATATTCAATTTAAATAGTGTTTATTTATAATAAATTGTTAGTTAAGGTTGGAAAGTAATTATTACAAATAATAATTTAGAGATATGAAACAGATTTTGAAGAAATAGAAACACTTCTCAAAGGACCTTATTATTAAGTTGTCAAAGTTATTAATAAAGTTGATTAATAAACCTACGCTATTAAATAGGTAAGACATAATCCTTATATTAGATTCAAATTTGCTTAAAACAGTAATAACAAATGGAAATCAATATCTAAAGAGTATTAAAGGAAGTAAGATACTTAGCATAATTGAATCATCCAAATATTATGAGGTATTATAATTCATGGGTTTAAATGAATGATGATGATAAAGAGTTACAATAAATAAATACAATTGATTCAATTAAAATGATTGATATCATAAGTCCTTTAAAATCACCATCTTTTAATAGAGGAATTTATGATGATCAATTTATATTTCCAAGTTATTTTTTTAACAATATATTAGAATAGATAGATAACAAGTCAAGTAAAGAAAGAATTAGTTATTCGGAAGTTGAATCAAGTGATTCTGACTCAAGTGAAATATAAAGTGATAGATTTTTTAGTGAATAAAAATAAAAAAATAAGAATTTAAAGGTTAGTACTTAACTGATTAGTAAATCATGTGGTTAGAAATACTTACATGTTGATAAATTCACAATATTTATTCAAACTGAATTTTGCGATTAATCTTTAAGCAATTACTTATAAGCAAGAAATGCTTTATTACAATAGAATTCAGAATAGCTAGAATAATTATAGTAATAATCATATGAAAATGCACTCTTAATTTCATTGAATCTAATCTCAGCTCTTGAGTATATTCATTAACAATGTAAATTAGTTCATCGAGATTTGAGACCAGATAATATCTTTATCAACAATTCAAATGATGTAAGAATAGGTGATTTTGGATTAATGAAAAAATTAAAGTAATTATTGGTATAAAAACAACCCTCTAAGTAACAGTATGGTTTTATTGAAGAAAACAATCATTTTAATAAACCTGTTAACTTATAAATATATATAGCTCCTGAATTATTGAAAGAAAATATAAACAAATAATATGATAATAGAATTGATATTTATTCTTTTGCATTGATTCTATTTTTGCTTTTTTATCCTATTTCAAAATAAGAAAGTCAATTATAATTGTTATTAGATGCAAAAGATTCATAAAATCTTCCTTTAAGATTTATATAAAGAAATCCAATTGTGAGTGATATTGTATTAAAATGTTTGGATAAAGATCCAAACAAAAGATACACTTTGGAATAGATTAAAACAAAATTATAAGATGTTTAATATTAGTTGGAAAAACAATTACGAACAGATTATATTGAATTAGGAATTTATAAGATTAAATTTGAAGATGAAGAAATTGAATATTTAAAGTAATATTAGAAGTTATAACCATAGGTATTTAAAATTGATAAATGGTTAATTATATTTATATAAATCTAGAGATCATTAGAAAGCTTAGGCAATTTATAATGTAACAGAATGTTAGATTAGATGGGTTGATAATTCAGTAGTGATTTGTCATGATCAATTAACAACAATAAGTATTGTTGTAAAAGATGAAGAAGAGATAGCGTAATTGAAATAAAAATTATTAATATTAAAATGAGCATATTATTAAGTCGTTTTTAATATAAATCGTTTTTCATTATTAAGTTTATAAGAAATGAAATACATAGTGATTGTTTTGTTGGCCTTAGCAGCTACAAGCACAGCATCAAAAACTTAAGACTAAATTTTAGCTCTATTATAAGTAAATATTAATATAAAAGTATTAGACAGGTACAAAAGCAAGTGATGCTATTGACACAGTATTTGGATTGTTGAATGATTTGAAATAATCAAATATTGATGCATAATTTGCAGCTGATCAAAAGAATGAAACAGATGAATGGGTTGGTGCATAGTAATAATATATTGGAAATATTTAGAACAATTGAATCATTCACCAAAATCAAAGCATTGAACTAAAAGTTATTCCAATAAGCAGTTGAGAATAGAGCTGAATATGAAAGTGTTTTATAACAAACCAAAAACTATTTGGCATGGAATGAAGCCAGAAGAGATACTATTGCTGCTAAAATTGAAACACTCTAAGACAACTAATGTTTCAGTAATTAGTTATTTGTCAAATCAATTAAACATAACTAAGAAGCTCTTGAAGTTATCAAGCTTTTGAAACAAGATGTTGCTGGATATATAGTTAATGGAGATTCATTTGAATTTACATAAGTTTAAGCTTAATCTGTTGCTGAGAAATTGAAATAATACAGTAATTTGTTCTAAGAACATTAAATCAAATCATTCTTAGCCTTAGCATAAGAATAATAAGTAGATATTACATATTAATATTAATAGGAATAATCATCAGGAAATGGATCAACCTTAGCTGAAAGAGTCTTGGCTGTATTAGAAGGATTACATGCTGAATTAGAAGCCTCATTAGAAAATTTGAAATAAAATGAAATTAATGCTTCATGGGAATTAGCTGGTTGGGTTTCATTATCTGAAGCTGAAATTGCCTCTTTGGAAGTTGAATTTGAAAGAAAATAAGTATTTGCTGATAGAACTGCTACTGTATTCATACATTTTTATTAATCTATAGTAAATCTAAGCTGCATTTGCCCAATAAGCTAAATCTAAGATCATTTTATAAGAATCATAAGATGCTTTAGATCAAGCATAATCAGATTTAGAAGCTAAGAGAGCTGACTATGAAGAAGCAAAAGCTAAAAGAAATGAAGAAAATGCTATCTTGGATGAAGTAATCATCATGTTCAAGAAATAAGTTGCTTCATGGTCTGGAAGATGATATCTTTGATAGATATACATTATGTCATTTATTAACCAACATCATATTAGTTCTCACCTTTTTATATTGTATTTATAGTCGATTCTGTATTTAGCCATCGATTTTTTTTCTCATTCAATCTCTTCTATTGACTCTTTATTAAACTTCTCTTTAAAGGAAATAGTCTAGATATCATCCAATCATTCACCAAAAAATAACTTGGTAATGAACTAACATTCATTAAAATAAATTTCTTAAAAGGGTTTGACATATTTAGCTTCTTCCTGTTGATAATAACAATACTAAAATTGTATATAAGAGAAGAATTCTTCTCCATATTAAAATACTAAAGAAAAAATTACACAAATAATAATTCTCATCAACTAGAATATGATTAGATTTTTATCATACGACCGTAAAAATGTGTTAAAATACGACAAAGAAAGAATTTAGAAGATCTAATATAATAAACTTACTTATTACAGAACGAATATGAAATTTACAAGAGAATCTTTATAATAATTGAATATTTTAATTTTTTAATTTTTGTTTATGATATTACTCAATCATTTTAAGAGTTTTTGAAATGTAGTAAATTGCACTTTGCCTGCTTTTTAATAATTTTAAATAAATTTCTTATCATTGGATGCTATATAATGATTTTATGAAATAAATGCATTGATTATTATAAATATCTTAGTATATTAATTTAGTTTTTTATATAATTTATTATAAAAATACGTAATAATGATAATTAATATTATTTTATAATAAAAATAATAATAGTGAATATTATTTAATAATAAAAATAATTATTATAAAAAAAATATATATATCTAATTTAAGTATTTAAGGATTAATTAAATCTAATAAAATAAATTATTTATTTATTTAAGATGAATATAATAAGAAAAGCATCAAGTACAATATTGAGACCATAATTTAATTATTAAAAAGTGATTTTATTTCCTGGAGATGGAATAGGTCCTGAAATCTCAAAAGCTGTAATAGATATATTTGATGCTGCAAAAGTACCAATAGAATGGGAATTTCATGAGATTCACAAAAAAAGAGTGACTGATCAAGGGGATTTGATAACAGAGGAAACATTGAAATAAGTAAAAGCATTGAAATATGCATTGAAAGGTATGATAAATTGAATATTTTGTAGGACCATTTGAGACTCCAATAGGAAAAGGATATAGATCTATAAATGTAACATTAAGAAAGAGATTATAATTATTTGCAAATGTTAGACCATGCAAATCAATAAAAGGAGTAATGACACCATATCCAGGAGTGGATGTAGTAACTATTAGAGAAAACACAGAAGGTGAATATAGTGGTTTAGAACATGAAGTTGTTCCTGGAGTAGTAGAAAATCTTAAAATAGTTTCATATAATGCTTGTTAGAATATTGCTTAATATGCATTTGAATATGCAAGAGCAAATAGTAATTTAATTTATATTAATTCTAGATAGAAAATAAGTTGTAGCATGTCATAAAGCAGGTGTTATGAAATAAGGAGATGGATTATTTTTAAAAGTTTGTGATGATGTTGCAAAGAATTATCCAGAAATTGAATTTAGTGAAGAATAAATTGACACTATGGCTTTTAAATTAGCAAATGATCCAACTAAAATAGATGTTATGGTCATGCCTAATTTATATGGTGATATTGTATCAGATCTTTGTGCTGGTTTAATTGGAGGCTTAGGTTTAACAGCATCGGGAAATATTGGAAAAGATTGTGAAGTTTATGAAGCTGTTCATGGAACTGCACCAGATATTGCTGGTAAGAACCTTGCTAATCCTACTGCATTACTATTATCAGGAATTATGGTATTTCTATTATATTTATAAATTTAGATGTTAAAAGCAATGAGATTAAATGATTATGCAAACAGAATTGAAAATGCTACATATTCAGTGTTAGAAGAAGGCAAATTTTTGACTGGAGATCTTGGTGGCAAAAGCACAACCTCTGATTACACCAAAGCTATTATTGATAAATTGTGATCTATGTATATCTAAATACATTTTTATTATTCCATTAATATTTTTAAAACAATGAAAATACCTTTGTATCTATCAGACATTATTTATTTCATCCTGTCTCTTGGAAACATAATTCAACTCTTAGTTATATAAAATTTAGCTCTCATCACTATAGTGTTGATGTCCATCGCTCTTGGAATTTTAATTATTTGTCTTACTATCAAAATTTGGTACTGTTCAACTGATGATTCATCTATTCTTCTATTGATACTTAATACAACTATCATCATTATGAGAATAATAGCCTTAAGTCATGTTCCATAACTTATATATTAAACAGATATGTACTTTATTTTAACTTATTAGTACTTTTGATTGCTCCACATCTTTATCATACAAAACTCAAGTCATAAATTCAAAATTATTTCAGCAGTTATCTACACAATTCTTTAAGCTTCACTGGATCTAAATTTTTATAGAATTATTTTATCTCTAACTATCTTTCATTAGATGATTCATACCAAGTAAATAACAACTTTTATAATTTTAGAAACAGTGGTAATAAATTACTTGAAACTCCAAAAAAAATATTAAAACAATCTCACACTTGGCAAAATAACTAAAATAATATAACTAATTAATTTAATAATGACTTAAATATCAAATGTATTTTATCTTAACCAAATTTGAATAATCAGCGCGATTTTCTTATAAATGAAGATACTTTTGATAATTTAAAAAGAGTATAAGATTTATTTCATTTACCTTACATCATAACTGATAAAGATGCTAAACCTATTCTCTATAATTCCTATTTTATTGATGCCTTTGAATTTAATGATTAAAAAAATATTCAATACGGGATCAAAAATATGAAAATATATCGCTTAGATAAAAAAAGCCAAAAATTAATAAAAAAGGCCAATCTAGAAAAATAAATGAATAACTAAAATTACTTCAATTCATTGAGTCAACCAAATATATAATTATTAAGCATTTCTAGCAAACCTATAAAATTACTCTTAAGTCATGTTTTATCAATAATGAATGCTCAAAATTGTTAATGTTCTGTAATAGATTTCTCATCAGATTTTATAGGAAGAGATTATTAAATTGATATTAAATTTTTATAAGGCTACTTTCTATTTATTTTCACTCAAACTTAAGAAAGAGAAGATTATAAAAATAAAGTAAACACAAAGCTTTTAATGAATTAACTATTTAGAAGTTTAAGCCATGAGTTTTGTACTTCTCTTAATTGCATCTAAATATTGGCTGAAAATGCAGCAGAAGAACTTTAAGAAAAGATTGTAAATAAGTACATATCACCTTTGTTGAACTCATGTAAATAAATTTATTATCTAGGTTATATATTAAGTAGTATAGTTTAGGATGTTAAAGATTTTAGTTTGATTTTATCAAAGAATTTTACCTTAACAATAAAAAATACAAATATATGTAAATTAATTAATGAAGTTGCTGCCCTATTTTAATAATAATTATAAATGAAGGGTTTATAAATGAATATTATAACAAGCAACTTTTAAATTCATACAGATCCCCAAAGAGTAAAATAATCTCTTGTAAATTTGTTATCAAATGGTTAAAAATTTACATAATAAGTATTATTTCTTTTAAATTTTAGGGAAGCATCACAATTACTGCTGTTGAAGAAAACATTAAAGATAAAAAATATGTAAAGATATCTGTTGAAGATACAGGTCCTGGAATGGACAATGAAACTAAAAGTAAATTAGAGTAGTTTTTAAAATCTCATTAAAAATGTAGATATAAAGAGCAAGATCAGTCATTTGGAATGGGTTTGTTGATCACAGAAAAAATAGTTAAAGGCTTGTCTATAAATTACGAAGGTGGTATACATTTTGAATCTAATGTAAAATAGGGATCTAAATTTTGGTTTTTAGTTTAGGATTTGAATTAAGAAGATATACAAAATTTTAATTCTAAATAGACAATTCGATACAAAAAAGGTTATTCTTCCAATAGCTTTTTAAGAAATGATAACAGTATTCCTATTAGTCCCACTTTAAAAGACATAAAATAATAGTTTTCACCTCTTCTATTGTCTCCTAGATTTAATAAGGATGGTTAGAATTTGTTAATAAATCGAAATAGTTCGTTTAGTCAATCAGAAAGTAAATATTATTTAAATGAATAGATTTATCCTATTAAGAAGAAAAATTGGACTGTATCATCAGTCCATATATTATGAAATTAGGATGTTCGAAACCTCTGTAAGATAGAATAGAGTTAGATGGAACACCTAATATTTCAACAAAAATATTAATTGTTGATGATGAATTTGTGAACATTTATGCCTTAAAAATAATGTTAAATCGTTTGAATTACTAATGCGATGAAGCCAATAATGGTTATGAAGCATTAGATAAGTTTATGAAAAATTAATATTAGCTGATTTTTATGGATATAGAAATGCCAAATATGAATGGAGTAACCGCTACTAAACAAATTCATTAATATTGTGAATAAAATAATCTACAAAAACCAATAATCATTGCATAAACTGCATATACAGATTCATTGACAAAGAAAGTTTGCTAAGAATCTGGGATGAACTATTTTTTATAAAAACCAATCCATACAAAAGACATTTAATAAATTCTTTATGAGAAGTTTTGACCTATTTATTTTCAAAATTTAAATCTTTATTATTGCTTATAAATTTTAAAAATTTTTTTCAATTTATTTCTTAATAGCTTCTTATAAAATCTATAAGCTAAGAAGCGTCTGACTAAAGCTTAAATCTTAATAATAATTTTAGCTGTCATTAAAATTTTTGTTGGTTTAAATCTAACAGGCCCAGTAGAAAATTCAGTAATGCATCTTTGTCTTTATTCTTAAGTAGGAGATCTTGAAAATCTTTTTTTATTATTTTATGATATCTTAAAGTTAAATATTTTAGGTTATAATCTTTTTCTTCTTTATCTAATTTTATCCATTACAATATTTGCAAAATAAATAACAAAAAAATTTCTATTCTTATTACGTTTATAAATCATTTCATATCTCTTTATCTTGATTTTCATTTCTTATTTTTCACTTTTTTTTCTTTTTTCCCTTCTCAGATTATCCTCTCTTTCCTCACTTTTTAATCTTAAATACTAAGTTCTCTTGACTAAAAATTAATGTCTTGCTTATTAAATAATTTTAACAATGCTTTAATGTGTTTCAATAATATGTTCTGCCAAATTACCTTCTAAAGCTGAAATCTAATCACTATCAACTTAATTCACAGCATTTTAAAGTTACTTTTTATCAACACATCTAGCAAGAAATTTACTAAATGATTTTGCAAATTTTATTTCTTCATATATAACTTCATCTTCATTATTTCTAGATTTAATATTTTAACGTCTATTTAATGTTTATATTAATGGCAAATATCCCATTATATTAAAATTACAAGTTGTGATTCTATTAGCATATTTATTTTAACTTCTTTGTCTATTCTCTAAAAAGGCTCCTTCTAATTCTTCATCCCATTAAAACTTTTACATTTTGTTTATTATTGTATTTTATTGAATAACATCTTACTTTTTATTCACTTTTATCGATTCTATATTTTTAGAAGAATTTAAAGATATAAAAAGCTTACCTATTTATGGATCCATTCTTTTTATCAACTCTAAAATAGTTGGCCTTGTGATATCATTTAATTTAATCTATTTCTATTTAACTATCAATTATTAAATATCATGTAATTCATCTAGTTTTCTATAGAGAACTTATGCTAAAGGAATTTTTAAAGATTAATATTTCGTATTGATATTTAACCATTTCAAAGGTTAGGGCTATATCTTTGTTTCAACCTTAGTTGTTATTTATTATTATTATCGACTCTCGACCTTTTCTTTCCATTTCTCTAATAAATTATCAATTGTATTATGAAATTTTTTAATTATATATTCTCTTTTTTCACATTCGTTTAAATTTTTTAATCCGCCTGGTTAAATACCAAAACTAATCAGGATTTATGAAATCGTGCCAATTTTATCCTATTTATCATTTAATTAATCACCAATCAAAGCAATATATAAAGTATCAATAAAGTATTCAGTGCATGATTTAATAATACTAGTAAATGCATCATGTTTTATTTCTTTTTATTTTTTATTAAAATATTCTAAATATGTTTGATTGACCTATTAATCCACTTTTATTGATGTTCTTGAAGCATTTAACGTTTATTATTAAGGTTCCTAAGCAAAATAATTAAAATATTGATCAATTTATTGCCAAGTCTATAATTTATCATCTTATTCAGGTTGCTATCTAATTTTTAACAGGTTTCTTATTGAAATTTGGTATCTTGGAGATAAAGAAATAGAATTTTAAGATTTCATTTATTCGAAATTCCTCCTTTAATTTTATAAATAAATTATCTAGATATTAAAATGTTGAATTTGGAAGTAATATATTTTGTTTAGATGATAAGAATAGCATCAGAAAATCACTTCCGTAAAATGAAGCTCTGCCATAAATACAATACATTACATTAAAATAATTAGAAAAACAACGCAAAGTAAATTTTAATGTAATGTTATCTTTACCTGTAAATATTCATCTAACTTAAGTATTTACTAAAAGATTAATAACTAGAAGATAGAAAAGATACAATTGCAATCTTCAGGAAAAGAAAACAAGAGACTAATACAATTAATAAAAATAAACCATAACTCTTAAACAATGGAAGGATTCATTTCACAGAGTTTTGGTCAGAAAAATATTAATGTATCACATTAAAAGATTCACAAATTAACAAAGATCTCAATAAATATCGATAGATTATAAAAACTAATATAAAAGATTATTTATCCCGATATGAAAAATAAGTTAAGGATCAACTTAAACAAGTTAGAGAGTAATCAATTTTGTTATTGTAGCTAAAATTATACAGTACCTGTCAAAGATTTTGATTCTGATGATGAAACTGTTAAACATTTTGATACTATAAATTAAAATCATTTAACTAGACATAATACAGAAGCAGATATATTAGCTCAATATAATAAAAATCAAGATCTTTTTAAAAAACCTTATATGAGATACTTGAATAAAAGTACAAGGAGAGAAGTCAAAAAAGATTACATACTTAAACTTGAGGATATGATGAGTAAATGTGATGATTTTAAATATAAAAGCTTAACATCAGAGTAAGGTAACAATTCTGCAAGTAGAAAAATAAATTTTAAAAGACAAAGTCAAAATTCTTTAATGAAAAAACTTATGAATAATTAAAGTACAAATTTAAGCAGAAGTAATTTTTGATTACTATAGTTAATATCAAATAATGATTAAGTTCTATTTAGTCTTTAAAAAATAATAATTAACAATTTTCTTCAAATAAAAAATGCATCCATTCAATTACCTTATTTATTAGTTTATTTGGGTTGGGTTTGGGGTTGAGGTTTTATTAAAATTATATTCATATAATTTGTGAAAAAAATAAAATAATGTAATTTATTTTTGGCAATAATGTAAAATCAATATTTTATATAAACAATCAATTTTTAACTGAATAACAATATTTTATTTTTAATTCACATAGAGTTACGTTTAGATAAGTTTGTTTTATAATATAAGTTCATTTCAAACATTATTTAATATAGAAATTTTTTAAATATTTGAATCAACTTTAAACTAATTTTATGTATCAATTATTTATTTAACATTATTTTAAACTATTTTATAAATAGTTAATTTAAAAATAATTAACAATTATTTGATTTATTTTTAAATTAATTGAAGGTAATGGAAAATTAATTGATTTTACTTTATTATAAATTATTGAAACAAAATAAATTATAAATTTGATTTTACTTTATTATGCTTTCTTAAAAAGGCATCACCTTGATGCAATTTATAAATTTATTGTATTCATTGAAAAAAGTAAATTTAGTTTTGATTTTTGTTTATAAATAATGATGGTAAAATAAAGATAATAAATTTTAAATTATTCAATTTTAAAACTATTTAATAGTAAATTTATATTATGTATAATACTAATTAATTATATTATTGTAATATTAATTTCTGACTATTTCTAGGGTCGAATTTTTTATTAAAATAAGTTTTGGCCTTAAATTTTATTAACTATTAAAAAATATGCCCAGAACTTTGGAATGAAAAANTATTTGAAAATTTTAATAAGAAAAGTAATTTTTGAAATAATCATATCCTTAAGATTAGCAATTTCAGTAAGTAAATATCCTAAAATTAAAAATTGTTTTTGTTGATTCATAATAATTAATTAAGTATTTTCGTGTATTTTGAAACATTTTCTATCCCTCGATTAATTTTATCATCCTTTTTGTTACTTTTAATATTTCTGTAGTTAAATTTTCTTTTAAAAACAATTTTTTTCTTTTATAATTATTATCTAAATAATCATTTTTTCTTTATTTATGATCATTTACTTTTTAAATTAATCTTATTGAAAATGATTCTTTATCTCTCATAGAGAAATAGTAAAATAAACTCTTTTTATTAAATATTCAATTAGATATACATTTAATAATCTCCTTTCAGTTTTAATATTTAGAAATATCAATATATGGTGTAATTCTTGATATTTTTGAATCTTAAAGACTTAATTTTTGCTTTTCCTCAAAATATTCCAATTATAAATAATAACAAAATTTTTAGTATTTGTTAGATTTTTATTGAATAAATATTCGGAATTTTTTTAAAGTAACATGTTTTTATCAATTTAAAGTAAATTATATAAGATCATTTCGGTTTTATAAGTTTTATATATCATTTTTGAATTTTCTATGTAAGAATTGTATAAATTACAATTTTATGAATTGTTAGATATCCAGGATTAAGATCTCTTATTTTCAAATAATCTAACATAATAGATTTTAATATAAATTTTATTTTTACAGTTTTATATGTATAATACTAATTAATTATATTATTGTAATATTAATTTCTGACTATTTCTAGGGTCGAATTTTTTATTAAAATAAGTTTTGGCCTTAAATTTTATTAACTATTAAAAAATATGCCCAGAACTTTGGAATGAAAAAATATTTTCATTTCGAAAAATATAATTAAACCATCCGCTTAATTAATTTTTTAATGGGAAACTTAATTTTATCAAAATTTCGACAAGATATATTCGATATTAATTAAATAAATTATTATCAAGCTCACATTACATCTCTTAATATCACTTACCACTTTAAAGGCTGATAAACTCTTAATTACATAAAGGATAGAAACAAAATATACTTACACAATCTTTTAAAATAAAAATTAATCATTTTTTATAATTGAACCTTAGATTATAATTAAAAATATTTTTTTTTTAATTTTTTCCTAGTTTTAACTTCTCTGTCAATTTTGAATATAATTATTGTCAAAATCACAAAATTAGGAGGGCTGATCGCTTTTTGTTTTATGAAATGTTTAACTAAACATATAATTTTATTTAGAAAATTTTGAAACAACCTTAACCCATCCCTATCTTTATTATGAACAATCATTTTTATAATTGTTATAATAAATTAATTTTATATAAATAAATTAAAATCTTAGAGAAGAAAGATAAATTAGTTATATAAAAGAATTAGAGTGATTTTGAATATTATAATACAATAATTATTTCTATTTTATGGGAAAATACAAAGAATGAATAATAGAATTATTTTTTTATTTTTTTATCTCATCCTTATTATTGAATGTTGTATGCATGAAAATATTTATTAATTTTAATTCTAAATGAAGTAGGTTTTATAAATTTTACAAGAGAATTAAATTCCTTAAGCAATAAGACAATTTGAATAGTTTAATATCCAAAATGAAGGAGCCTAAATACTCTTAGAAAAAATAAATGATTTATATACCTCAAACAGAAATTTAGTTTGCCAATGGATAGTAGACACAGATTAAATTGAAACGGAATACAAATTTTTAGCTTATAATATCTTAGGTATCATTATTTAAAGATTTAATTAGGATGTACCTTAGAATAAGAAGACCTTAAAATAGAAAATTTTAGAAAAGCTATTTCAATAGCTTTAAAAAATAATTTTGACGTTTCAGATCCACTAATTAATATTCAAAAAGCTTATTTACATAAATAATAGTTTGATAAAGTTTTAAGATGTTTTAAATATTTTAATTTAATAAAAGGAAGATATAAAATAGTAGCAATTTATAATGTATCTAAAGCTTATTAAGGATTATAAAAAATAGGAGAATGTTTTGAATATTCAAAAAAAGCTTACGAAGAAAGTTTGAAGATATTTGGAATTAATGATCCAATGACTAAGAGAATGGAATAATATTTTAATTTAATAAATAATAATAAAGATTCATAAACATATAAATAAATAAGTAATCAAGATAATCAAATAAGAAGGTAACATTAGAGTTAATTATCAGATACAAGTTCAATTTTTGGTAATAGTTTTTCTTAGTTTGACAATGATTTATCATTTAATACATTTAGTAGTAAAAGTAATAATTCTAAAGAATAATCAATAACTGTAGAGTTTTCATGTTAAAATAGAGAAATTTGTTCATTAGATAATTAAAACTTATGTTGCGAATTAATTAAAGAATTTTTCAGATTTGCAGATCTAAAAATATAAATAAAAAATATTTAATCTAATTCTATTAATGAAATATTATAGAAGAAATATCAAAAGTTACCACTTCAGATCAATTATTAAGAGCAAGAAGATGAGAATATATAATAGCCTTTAAATCTAAATTAGTATTAAGTTTAAAATTATTCAGAGGTTTAGAATAATAAAATTTACACATATTAAATAAAAGCACAATAAGAAAATTATTTATCTTAATAAGATATAATGATTTATATATAAGCTCCTTTGATTAGGAGTTTTCTTATTGAAAGTGCTTAGAAAGATTTTATTGTTAAATTAGATGATAAATTGTATTAATATTAAGTAAGTCCAATATCAAAATCGAAGTAAAAATAAGATGAGGTAAGTTAGTTTTTCTGGAGGTTAAAAAATATGTTGGATAACATTATAATTTTAACAACAAATTTTTAATCCTAAAATGAAGCAATAAATTTTCAAAGTATTTTGAAATAAAATAAAATTAAAAAAAAGTTATGTGATTTACTAAGTTTAAATGACTTTGAATTATATTTATCATCAGAAATAGATTTAAAAGATTTTCAATGTTATAGTAATTTATAGTAATAAGCTCTTAATTTAAAGACTAAAACATATTAAATAATTCTTATTATTAAATGTGTTGTTTAATTCAGTAACATCAAGTAGATGCAACAATAGTTCTAAGAATTTGCATTAAAATCAAGAAATCTTTAATTAATAAAAGAGTAATTTTAATTAGAACTTGAATTTAATCCTGATTCTAATGTAATAGATAAAAAAATTAAATAACTTTAATAAAGAGAAGAATAATTTGAAATATCAATATCTTAACCACAACTTAAAATAGGTAGTAAAAAGATGTTTGTAGTTGATTCTACAATTTAATTTTGGATGGATAGAAATGATTAATCTAATTAGGAAGTTCAATAAATGTTCAAAAGAATAATAGATTCTATATAGTAAATATTTTTTCCATCTTTGAAACTTATTCTTAGTGATACAAATTAAATTAAATTGTGGTAAAACTTCTTATATTAATTTTATATTAATAATCCAAAAGAAGGTTGTACTCTGAATAATTAGTATGTTTTAGAATTTAAAGGTGAATCTAATTTGATCGAAGCAAAATATAAATTAATTGAATAGGATTTACAAGAATATTAATTCAATTAATTAAATTTTGAAGTTTAAGATAAAATTGCAAAAGTTCTAAAAGAGAAATAATAAATTTAAAAACAATATAAATTATCTTTAGATCAAATTGCAAAATAATTTAGTAAATGCCTTATTTAGATTGTGGGTATAAGTGATAACAAAATTTAAGTTGATACCTACATAAATAATTAAACAACATTAAATAATATTTAGTTACTACTGTAGCAACAGTTTTTTTAAAATTTAAATATATATACAGAAAAGAATATTGAGATCGAAGATATTTGTGCTTTTTTAGGAGTATAAAAAGAATAATTTAAAAATCAATATCAAGTTGTAGTATAAAAGAATAAAAATGAATATAATTTTATTGGACAAAATAAAGATTTAGAAGAGATAAAAAAAATAGTAGAATAAACTAAAAAATATAAACAAGAAAATAGAAAAACTAAAATAATTGAATGCCCAAATATACTTGTATTCAATCATTTAAAAGAATAACATTAATAATCATTAAAGATAGAAAATTAAGATATCTAAATATTGTATTCTTAAAATTAAACTATTATATTATAAGGAATCAATCAATAATAATTGATAGATAAATCAAATAGCATTTCTTAAGATATTCTCAAACTTGAAAATGAATTAATAACTAAAACTTGTATAATTAAAGAAAAATTATTGAAATTCTTTGAAAAAAATTTCAAATAATACTACACTACTTTAGAAAATTCAAAAAAGGCATCAATAAAATTTTAGGAGAAAAATAAATACTCTATTATATCTTAGGTATTATAATCAAATAAAAAACTTCAATTAATTAAAGGCGAAATAACTTAATTAGAATGTGATGCTATATTTAATTTTCATAGTAAAAAAGGACAAAACTTATAATTTAACAAAGAAACTGAAAAAATTTTTAATTTTGGCGGTTAAAATTATCAAAAATTTTTTTTAAATTAGATAGAAAATACTAACTGTTAGTAAAAAGAATTGGATATAAAAATTTATAAGATGAATTAATTTAGAAACATTCGTTTCATCATAAATATTGTTACTTCATCTTAATTTACAAAAGAATAAAGAGATCCTAAAAAAATAACAAAAATAATTGATGAACTCTTCAACCATATTGAACAAAATTGTTGCATTTCTAGTGTAGCAATTTATATACCTAATAATATTGAGAATGATCAATATTAAAATAATAATGTAATTGAAACATATCTTAATAGTATAATGAATAGATTATTTAATGAAACAAATTAATTAAATTAAGTTTAAATAGTTGAATAACTTTAACCAAAAATTACTTAATTAAATTCTATTCTTTAAAATATTTCTAAAAATTTTATTGTGGGTTAAATTAAATATAAATGGTAATGGAAAGATGGTATGAAATTTTCGAATTATAACGATGATGTTAATATTTAACTTGATGATGCATATGAAAGATTTACATAAACAAATTAAGAAATTAAAATTTAGTTGAAATTTGAAATAGAGTCAAAACCTAGCACTCATTCAGTTGATTTATAAAACTTAACCATGATAGAATTATCTTCAAAAAGGGAAAATTAAATAATTTATTAAAACAAATGGGGAAAAATAAGTTACTATATTAATAACGAATTATTAGATGATGAATATACTTAATACTTTATTAGAATGTATAAAAAATAATGTTATTAATTTGAAATATTTTGGAAGAAGCTTTTAGTAGTAATCAATAATTAGTCTATGTATTAAGTAAATTAATAAACTAATTACTAAAGAGAAATTTAAAGAATTCCTTGTGATTAAGATAAAGTTTAATCAAAGTAAAATATTACTAATCAATTTGATATAAATACTATTTAAGAATATTAGAATTAATTTTAAATTTAATCATTCAATCAAAATATGAATGAAAAAATATTAATAGAAATAAACTAAATGTTATAATAATCCATAATTAATTTAAAAATAGAGATACCATAAATTAGTGATAAAAACTTAAAAAATTTTACTGGCTATTTAGAAACAGTAGCATTAAATTTTAGAGGAATAATTAATTAAGGATAAACCATTAATATAGAAATTTTAAAAAAGAAATAAAACAAAGTTTTGAAACAATTAGAATTAATAAAAACTTTAGCTAAACAATATCCTGCAAAATGGATTAAATAAAATAATAATTTTGTTAGAGTTTCTATTCAATAAAATTCTAAAGAATATAATAAAATTAAGAATTATTTTTCAAAAACAGATAATGGAACAATTAAAGCTATTTTTAGGATACAAAATAAATCTTTGTGGGATAATTATATAGTAGAAAGAAATAAATTATTTGAAATTTGTTAAAAATAAAAAAGATTTTTACTTCCTAAAGAATAAAAGAGATATTTATGGCATGGAGTTAAAAATTAACATCCATAAGTTATTTATTAAAACTTAACTGAAGCCTTTGATGTTACATTTAGTAATGTAAAATATTTATTGTATTTTAGATTGGACTTTGGGGATAAGGTATATATTTTGCTGAAAATGCTAGTTATTCAAGAAATTATGCTTATAAAATAACAAGCCAAGATGATCCTAATTATGCAAATAATCTTGTATTTTTATGTTGTTTAGTTACTACAGGTAAAATTGAAACAAGAGAAAGTTCTCAAAATATTAAAAAGCCAAATGATGGTTTCGATTGTGTTTCTGGATATACATAAGGAAGCGAAATATTTGTTATATATTAAATGCATGTAAGAAGAGCATACCCAGCTTATGAAGTAATCTTTTCATGAAATTATTTCAATTTATTAATATATATAATTTTTTGGATTTCTTTATTGTAGATTATTATTAATTTATGTTTATTTCATATATGCACATATATTAACATTTTTATAACTTAACTATTTTAGGTATGAAATTATCATGATTCTAATCAAGAAAAATTTTTGATATTTTACTTTTAATTATTACCTAATTATAATTTTAAAATATTTTAAAATAATATTAGAATTTTATATATTTCAATGCCATAGAAAAATATAAACATCTATTCGATTATTTATTTTAGAAAATCTTTTATTAAATATAAATACTTAAATAAAAGCATAAATAAAATTTCAACCTTTATTCTCAATAATGGGATGATTAAAATATAAGAAAATTGATATATTAATATTTTAATACCATATTGAATTGTTGTTTCATATGCTAAATTACCATTCTTATGTTACACTTATTATTATCATGAAGATATCTTCTGATTTTTCAATTATAAATTTGTTAAACCTGTTATATTTCCTTAATATATGCCTTAAGATTTTGCAAAGGAGTTATTGAAAATAATAGAAAAGATTATTTAATTAAATATTCAGTATTTTACAGAGCTTTTATGTAATCATCTATAAATATTAATTTTTATCAATAACTTGATTCAATTATGGATGAATAAAAAATACATCATAGTTGAACACTAGTATTCTTTATACATTTTTGTAACAAAATTATAAATTGAATTTATTAATTATGTAAGAAATAAATGCTGATATTTTAAACCTAAAAATAAATGAACAATTGAAATAAGATTGTTCCATTAAAAAATTCTATCAAATTCAGTTTAAAATATCCAAATGCAAGAATAAGTTATTAAACCATAATAGTCGCTTATTTTATTTATATTTAAATTCTATTAATATGCTATAGATAATAAGCAAAGCAAATAATAAAAATTTAATATTTGATTTGAATTAAAAAAACTAAAAATATTTTTATAGTTAAATTTTACTATTATATATCATTCTTAATTTTGTTCTTTTTTAAGAATAATTATAATAAATTAATTGATAAATTTCTCTCATAAAAGGTGAAATTTTAAATATTTAATGAAAATAAAATTATCCAACCAATTATATTCTTCTCTTTAAATTGTTAACTTTTTATAAACATAATCAGAACTAAAAATAATTAAAAATATATTAAAGTTTAAAATAGCTATTTAAATTAAAAGGCTATATTAAAGAACTTAATTTGAAGTAAAGAAAGTATGTAGAGATAACAGTAAAAAAATAAATAGTTGTCTTACAGTTGAAAGATTGAGAATCTAAAAGTAAATATAAATTAGATTGTTTTTAATTAAAATTTAATATTTAAGAAGTTATTTATTATTTTACTAATTAAGATTATATATTTTCAATTCAAATTCTTCTGATTTTATTTGAAATTTAAACAATTTTCTAATTTATTAATTTTTATATCTTTTTGAAAATATTGGATATTAATTTAATTAATGATCATTGTAATCTTCACGAGATACAATTTATTTATATCGAAAAGAAAATTAGGTGAATTGCTAATGATATCGCTTATGATATTATTAAATATTAAACTTTTTATTGATTATTTTCTTATTTGTGATAAAATCAACTGTAAGAGATTTTTCTAACATGTACATAAAATTCAATACTTTCTTTAATAAAAGAAATTTCAAATTACATAAAAAAAAATAAAGCTTTTTCATTTATAATGCCTAAATAATAAATTATAAGATATAAATTAATTACAATAAAAATTTGGAGATAAATTTGATTTAATTCATATTAACTTTATTTAAAATTATAGATTTTAAACATTACTCCAATTATGGAGTATTAGATATTGCTGCTAAAAATGTGAAATAAACTAATTAAACACGGAACACTTCCAATTTTAACATTTTTATTATAGTAGTATAAATCCATTTTTACAATAAGTACCCTTATCCACAATTTTTCCATTTATCTGTATCATGTTAATTCCCATCATCACATTTATTCAATCCCAATAATTTAACTAACTTCAAACTTTTATTATAATCTAAGGTATATAAAATTATTCTATTTCTTTTACATTAAATTTAGCATTGATATTGGTGATTTAAGCATCCATTTAATTCAATATTCTTTACTTAGATCTTATAAATGTAAACATTTAAATTAATCACAGTTCAATCCCAATAATATGGATATTTAAATTGAAAATTAATTCATAAATCATATAATATGAAGTTTTCATTTTTAATACTTTCTTAAACTTAATATAAGGATATAAAAATATCTATTATTATTAAACATATACTAATTATCAAGTTTATATTTTTCATCATTATTAATCTCAAACTTCAATATTTTAGGTATTTTTATAACTCTTAATCAGCAATAGTTCTGCTAATTTTATAAAAATTATTCACAATTTAATTTTGGATTGTTTAAATCGTAAATTTTTAAATAAAAAAATTATAAACTATTTAGAAGAAAACTGATTTTTAAATTTTAAACAGCTCACATAAATAAACACCATTAAATTTATAATTATATTATTAGGAGGATAATTGTATGCTTTCTATTTATTTTAAATGCTACAATAGAAATTATCAATGATCATTTTTAAGATATTATCTTAAATTTTAATAGTATTAAAAATTCTATTTTTTGTAATACTCTAAACAAATAATCTAAAATTGAAAAATTTAATTAAATAATTATATATATAAGAAATTTATATAAACTATTTTTCGTTTAAAATTGTGAATTAATAGCAAATTAACTTTTTTAATAAATTATAAAATTCTTTTATTAATTATATTCGTTAGCGATTTTCCCTAAAAATTTTAACTGTGATATCTAGCTTGGATAATTACAATAATCGAAATTGAAAAACTTATTTATTTAAATGAATATTAATAATATCAACTAAAAATATGAAGTCTAATAGAAATAAATAAGAATAATATTTAAATCTTCTCAAAATATTAATGAAATGCCACAAATTCAATTTTTTCAATAAATTTTGTAGTACAACATCTTTAAAGTTAATTCTAATGAATTCTAAACAAAGAAATACTAAGATTATCTAATTTGATGACTTTTTCTAACTTTGTATACTGACTATATTATTTTTAGAAAGTATAGATCTAATTTTTATAGTCTAAGATTTTAATATATTCTATAGATATGTGCTATACTATATTTCTTCCTTCAATATATTAATTATTTATTATTAGTTTTAGAGTGAATGAAAAGATATCTTAAACTTAAAATAATCTAAATAAAGATTAATAAATTGAAATGAAGCAAGCAGATACTAAGACCTAATAATACTAGAAATTAATATTAATTATTGAAATTGTCATAGTTTAAATTTGAAACAATGTTTAAAATAACCAATATATAGTAAATACTAGTAATAATATAAAAAAAACAACAAATTGTTAAAAGAATAGGTTAACCATTTTAATATTTTAATTAGAATATTAGTTGATATTGTAGGTAAAATATCAATACTTTTTTTCAACTTAATAAGTTCCTTTTATTAAATCAATAATGATTAAATTGAATAAAATTCTTATAAAATGAATAAATCGATTTTTGATTAATTCTCTTGGTATCTCTAATTATAGAAACATTATAGAAATAAAGAAGTGAAATATAAAATCTTTCTTGTTACACACTTTTATATTCACATTCTGATTAAAATAATTAAGATACTTTGGAAATGAAAAATTTAGTTTTGATTCTTTAGTAAAAAACAAATTTTAAATTTCAAAAAAATATGGATAAAATAGGTTTTTTTGATCAATCCAATAGAAAATTGGAAAATTTACTCCTTCAATATTTCAACTGATCATATAAACAACTATTATTTTCTAGATTATTTTAACTTGCAAATTTAGGCAATTTTAATATCTAGAGATACTCTTATAGAATAAATTTCTCTAACATAGATAAAATTTTGGAAATATTAAATAATTTTAAAAATAATTAATTATGAAACTTTTCTATTTAATAAGCAGAATATAAAATTGATAAAGGTAATTAACTAACTAAATCATTAATATAATATTTATTAATAATAGAATAATTGATATTTTGCCTTAGATATGTCAAAATTCAATGAGAAATAATTAAAATATTCTCTTCATTAATATAGTAATCTATTATGCGAGGTGTTTGTAAATAAATTTTAAGAAACTTTTAAAAATTAAAAATTTGATTATTTTTTATATTGTTCTCTTGATATATACAATAAATATTAAGTGATTCAAAAATCATTAGTATTAAAAAATTAAGAGCCAATTAAATCAAAAGATAATATATGTGTTTAATTTTTATATAATAATTTAATATTTAAAATAAATTTTAACCAAAAAATGATAGAATTAGAAAAAAAGCTGAATGGTATTGAAAATCATAAAGAACTAATACACATGATTGTATTTGATAAAAAATTAAAAAGGATAATGTCTATTTGCATGCAAATCCTTGAAGTAAATACTAAAATGATTGGATTTAATAAGGTACTTTAGATTATTGAAGATCATTCAAAAAATAAAGTAAAAAATATTTAAAGTTTAATTAAAATTGAAGTGAATTAAGTAAAATAGTTGTTGAGATGGATTAGAAGTATTAATTAATAATCCTTAATAAAATATATTCAATTAAGAATAAATGATTAAATCAATTAAAAAATTAACTATTCATTTTGTAATAAAATTAATTAAAAGACATCTATATTTAAGAACTTAGAACTTTATTCATAATTTGACCAAATCTTATAAAATTGAATTTATGAATTTGATTGATAATTCAATTCAATTTTGGAAATAGGTAAATGAAAAAGAATGGAAGAGTTCTTATTCATATTAACGCATACTAATTGTATAGATTTGTTTAATCTTAAATCAACCTGAAAATTTACTTATTTTTGGAGGAGATGATTATTTAATTAAGATTTGGTAAATAGATTTATTAACAATCTATTAACTTATCTTTATTCATTAGATAATCATAAAATTTATGTTTTTAGCTTATATTTTAATTAATATGAAAATAAATAGGTTTCTTGTGGAAATGATAAGTATATAATAATTTGGAAATAAGAATTTATAAATGATGATCAATTAATTTGGGTGACAGAGGATTAAGTAAACAAGGATCTATTTGGATATTTGTAATAAGAAATTAATACTATCAAGAAAATTTGGTTAAGGAAGTATACTGATAACAAATGATAATGTTGCTGATTAGAATTTATTTCGTATGTTTTATAACAAAGAAAAGAATTTGATGACGATTAAGCACAAATATCATGTTTATTTGATAAAAATAACAAATGAAGGCTAATTAAAAATAATAAGATAGATACATAAATATTAGACATATGAAATATTGATTAATTGAATATTCACAAAATATATCATTTCAGTATTTCACAATAATATTAAAAAAATGAAATTAGCTCAATTCAAAATGATTGAATATAGAAATACAGAAAACCAGGATTTAATAATCTAATTTATATAATTATAATTAGATTATCTCTATAACATTCCAAACTCTTCGATCTTTCTTGATTTTAATTTTGCAATTATAGTATATCTATACCTTTTATTTCATTTTGATACTTAATTCTTAAATTTCTCAAATTTAATATTATCTTTAATTTATTATTCGATCATTAATAATTTATGAAAAGTTCAACGAATTTACTTGATCTTAATATAGAAAGAGTTATCTTAACAAAACATACACATATTTGAGGTATAAATTTTTGAATATGTATTTTTTTCTTTTATTTGATCCATATTCTTTAACAGAAAACAACTCATCTTCTTATTTAACAAATTCATTTTATTGTTTATAAAATATTTTTATTATTAAATATTTAAGTAGAGATTCAAGCCGATTTATACAAAACATCAATCAGAAAACTTAATAATATATTCGAATGGTTATATTTAATTCTTATATATATTAAATTTCAATTTTTATATAAAATTTTTAATTAATAACAAAATTCTTCAAATTATTATTTACAAGTTTTTATTGATTACTTTTATTCTTTACATATCTTAAATTATATTAGGCTAACTAATGATTAATAATTTGTTTAACTAAAATGATTATTTTTTTTATATTCAGAAATAATTAAATTTTATCCATAAAAGATTAGGGAATCCATTTAATATTTTATTTTGCATGATTATGCAGGGTATTCTTTGAAAATATTCTAGTCAAGTCTTTTCAGAGGATTCAATCTCAAATTTAGGAATAATTCTTATTTAAGATGATTTGAATGCTATTCAATTTCTATTAATTGATAACCATAAATAATTCAAATTATTTTGATTTCAGTTCTAATAAGCATTAGAATAAAATAGAATAGTTTTTATAAAGACAGAAGTACTCTATATGGAATGGATTTCTCAATTTTATCAATAATATAAATTAAATATGAATTGAGATATTATTTTAATTGGTAGTTAAAGATTAAATTTTTGCAAAATAATATAATTAATGCAAAAATATAATTGATCAAAATTGATCACATATAGTCAATTTAATGTATATAGTATAATATTCAAGCCTTTATTCGATTTTGTATTATCCTTATTATAAAATCATTTCTTTTATTTTAATTCTTCTAATAATACTTTAAAACTTTTATCTAAAAGAACTACATTAATTCTATTTCTAATTTTAATTAATATTTACACATTCTAAATCTTTTAAATCTATTTTGGTTATTGTTTCTTCCATTTAATTTTAAATTTGTTGTCATTGTCAATTCAAATTTATTTGTTACTTATATAGAGGAAATTTAAATTGTCACTATTGGTCTAGGCTATTTTTGTATTTCTATTAATTCAGAATTTTCCTATTAAAATAAAAAATGCACATTTTTACTAAAATCAAAACAAATCAAAGTAATTAATGTATCATTATAAAAAATTTTCATCTTAAATTATATGTAACTCAAAGAAAAATTTTTACTTGTATGTATCACTACTTTTTTATTTTGTTAAAACAACAAAGCTTTATAAAATATATCATAACTATGATTATTGTTGCCCAATTTTAGAATTTAACATAATTCAATTATTAAAAAAAATCATAACGTTAAGGAGTATGGGAAAATGAAATTAATGAAATTTTTAATTATAAAACTAAAAATTATTTTCTCTTTCAGTTAACAATATTGTTCTTTTTACTAAAGTCAAATTTAATTTAATTTCAGCATTTACTAATTTAGATATCCAAGAACATAGATATTTTAAATATTTAAAATTATTGAAGAAGAAATAGAATATAAATAACACTTTATAAATTATCAGAGTATTTTAAAATTTTTAATATGAAATGCAAAAATGGTAAATGGATTTAATATTGTAGATTAATACTATTAAATTATTCATTATTTTTAATTATTTTCAATTCCTCTAAAAAATTGAAGACACTTAGTGAATGTGAATAAATTTGAATTATGCATTTTTCTTAATTTAAATTACTTATCCCTCAATCAATTTTTTTAATTGAAAATATCTATAATATGTATAAAAGTTGTTTTATTTAATTTATATAATATTTTGGATTTGATAAAGTATAATTTCAAGTATTCAGATATTTATATTCTTCATATAAAAAATTAAAAAATATAGAAATAAAAAAAAAAAACTATTCAATTAGTCTTCTTGAAAGTTGTGATCAGAAAATAACTATATTATTATCTTAAATACTGATTATTTTTATTATTTCTTAATAATATTTATAATAAATGAATAATTAAGACAGCAAATCTAAATTAAATATCTATGCAAATAATGATGAGGCTTCTGATTAGTCTGTTGTTAGATAATTAGATGGAAATTAAAGTCAAAGGAAATTTAAAAGCAATTTATATGAAAAATTAGAAAATGCTTTTATAACTTTTAAAGAAGCTATTCAATTAAGTATTATTGAAGAAAAGCAAAAGATAATTAAAAATTTCTCTACATATGAATAACTATCTTAAACAAAAATTGAAATAATAGATGAGGAATTGAAATAAACTTTTTCTAATTCATAAATATAAATATAAGATTATATTTCGAACATCGAAAATTAATTAAAATTATTGGATTAATAATTCTTTGAAATAATAATAAAATATCAAAAATAATTGATTGCTTAAACACCTAACATTTTAACTAAGTAGAGTTCACCATTTTCTTAAAAGAGTGATGAATAAATTAATCAAAAAGTTATATTGCAAAATAATGAAAATAATTTATAGTTAACTTCATTTTTATAATAATGCTAAACATACAACTATCAAATAATTGAAATTGATTAAAATGGTTAATCTCAGTATGATATACTAGTATTACATAAAAATATATTATTTTATTTCAATACAAAAGGGATATTTGAAGAAAAAAATACCATTACTTCAGCTATTAACTTTTATGTTTAAGGAAAACTTTATAAAGTAGAGTATAATAAAAACTTTAACCCTAATTTCGAAAAAATTGAAGGGAAAATGTACATCTCATTATAGAAAAAGAGTTTTAAATTAAATGGTTAAGGTACAATTTATGAAGGAAATAGTAATAAAGTCAAGTGTTCAGGAAAATTTATTAAAGGTTTTCCTATAAAAAATGAGGGATTATTGAATATAAATGCAGAAATTTAAAATAACGGATAGTAGAATATTTCTTTTTCAAAGAGTCCAATCAAGATTTAGTAGATAATAGATGATACAAATTAGATATAAAGTAATTGTAATAATTTTTAAAATTATGATTAAAATAATCTTGATTGTTAGTTTAGATAGATTAATCATTAATAAAGACAAGATGGATCTTAGAAATAATTAGCAGAAAGACGAAATTTAACCTAAAATTGTATTAGAAAAAATAACTAAATTGAAAATCTTTATTAAACTGGAATAAGGTCTTAAAATCTTAATTCTAGAAACATATGGTGTAAATATAATTAATAAATAAATACATATGCTGAATCAATATTAAATGATTAATCCAAAGCTTGGTTAATGAGTAATATTATAGATAGTTATGTACTATATCTCAATATTGAAGGCGAAGAATTATATTTCAACAAGAATTATTCTGATAGAACTGATGTAAAGAGACTTTTATTCTTTCCTAGTAGTTTTATCACTTCATTTGGATATGAATTTAATATCTAGAAAGCCAAAGAATTATTTTAAGCAGAGTTGATATAATATCAAGAGATTAATTTTGAGATTAAAAAAGTATATTCTTAAATTGGATTTCCTATTAATAAAAATAAATTACATTGGTAATTTATAATATTTGATCTTATTAACAATACTATTGAGTTTTTTGATTCTAATTAGAAGCATTATATAAATGGTAATGATGTATATCTTACTAAAATTATTAATACTTTAGAATAGTTATTATCCATCAATAATTGTAAAATCAATTTATCACAATATTCTGGCTAATAAACTGATGGATATTCTTGCGGTTATTAAATTTGCACATACATGAAATATTGTTATGAAAAATAGTTTTATAAGAATGCTTATTATTAATATAATGAAAAAGAAATGAAAAAAATATTGCTAAAAATTATTAGAAATTTAGAAGTTGAACAAATCAATATTTGAATTTATATTTTTTAATTTTTAAATAAAATAATATCAAATTTAAATAATATTATGATATATATCATTTGATGTTTAACAATATATATAAAATTTTTACTGAAAATAAAATCCTTAATCAATCAATTTATGTTTTTGGTTATTTTCAAGCCATTATTATTATAAAATTTAAGCTTAAGCTGAAGTTTAAATTAAATTTGTGCCTTTTCTACTTTTCATCTTCATTATAAATGGATGATATTTTTTATTCCAAACATTAAAATAATCAATAATTCTGAATACAATAGACTAATATTCAAGACAACAACCTTTATGAATTAACAAACCATAGTATTGTATACAGTATTTCAAAGCTTTTAAAAAAATTTGTTATAGAATTGGTATCCTAAAAATTTTATAAATAAGTAATTAGAAAGTATTAATATTGTTTTTTTGAGATATTTTGATTCCAATTGAAGATTCAAAGGAATAAATAAAAGTTTAATTATTATGTAGAAAAGCTTATATTGTAAAAATGTTGCTATTTTATAACTTCCATAATTTACCATTATGAAGTTAATGTAATTAATATATGCTTCATATAATTTTTCAATCATATTTTAATGAAAAAAACAGTAATATATTAAATCATTTCTATTCAGCATATTATGTGTTTAAATCAAAAATATCAAATAGTATTTAATTATTTTATTATACAATTATATATATTATATTAGAAAAAGATTAAAAAAAAGATTTTTCATTTAAGTTTAATACTTATTTAGGTAGGGAGAAGGATTTTTTGATGAATTGAGTAATATTAACATTGGGAAATGGATAGAATTAAAAAGATTATTTTAATTCATATCTGGGGTAAATTCAGTTGAATAGTACAAAACATATGCTGGAGAATATTTTAAGGGAAAAAAGATGTTAAACTATTAATGATAAAAAAGGACAGGAATTTATGGAAAATTTAAGAATATGTAGAAATAATAACTAAATTTAGTAATGAACATTTATATTGATATTGAATTTAGTTTAAGAAGAAGGAATGAGATTATATTATTAAGTTATTTATATTATTATTAGTTTATTTTGATCTATTTAAAATTGTTTAAAGTTGAACTTTTTTTTTTATATTTTAGTTTTATTAAAATAATTTAAAAATGCAAAATCTTAACAGCATAATTAATTTGAATTTGTAAATTTTTTATTTATAAAATTTTTTATTTTAGCACTAATTTGTATCATAATTTCCCAAATATTATTATTATCCATATTTTTTAGTTTATAAAAATGATATTTAACCTTGTACTACAATGGAGAATATTGTCTAATATAATAGTGAGAATAATAATTATCAAGCAATCTTTTATCATATGTACATAATCAGAGAATAATAAATTATGTAATATATGAAAACTTAAAATTTTGGAAATAATTGTTGAATCTTAAAAAATAGTGATAAATTTGAGAATGATTTATTATTTCCTTTATAGTAAATTTATTAAGTAATATTCTAGCCTCTGCTTAGATACTATATCAGTTTTTTCAAACAGATGATATCCAAAAGTTTTGATATTCTTGATAAATCAATTGTTTTTTTGTATTTATAAGATATCATAAACAATAAAATTTGTCTTTCTGTTAATTTTCTCACAATAACAATTTATCCTTAATTCTTCACTGTACTTAAAAAAGGATTTTACTAATAATATAGAAAATTTCATTATATTTTTCTTTAGAATCAAAGTAATCCAGGAACAGATCCTGTTGTATTATAGTTAGGTGGTGGTCCAAGATGTACTTCATTATTAGGATTAAATGAAGAGATTGGACCATTTGTTATGGTTGATGATGATAGAGTATTTAAAAAGAATCCTTATTCATGGAATAATCGTTTAAATTTATTATTTATAGATTAACCTGCTAGAGTTGGATTTTCAACTAATAATGATCCAAATTATAAATATAATGATATAAATTCTGGTGAGGATAATTATCAAGCAATTTTAGTTTGGTTTTCTATATTTAAATAATATTAAAAAAATAGATTTTTTATTGTAGGAGAATCATATGCAGGTATATATATAAATGTATGTAATTATAATTTAGGAATGTATATTCCATATACAGCAAGAAATCTCATAAAAAATTCTACGAAACTCCATAATTAAATACAAATTGTTTAATATTTTCTTTTTCTTCTCTTTATGATTCTTTTTTTTATATCTATTTTCATTTCTCTAATATTATATTATTATTTTAAATTTTAGTAATAAAGGAAGGCAAATCTTCTTCTTCATTCTTTCTCTTTAATTTAAATAAATTCTTTGAACTATCTAATAATTTCAACAATCTAGTATTCCATTTAAGAATCTTAGACATGCCCATCATAAATGTTTCAATCCTTATAATTTAGATCAAATCTATAGTTTTGTAGGCTCAAGCTTTTAAAGAAGGATAAATCGATATTAATTTAACATTAAATTTTATTCTACAATTCTAATTTAAATTTTTTTTACACAAAACTAACTATTATCCAAACTTGTAAATCAAAAATTTTGCTTTTTCTAAATATTTGCTGGTTGATCCTTTAATTTTAATTTAAAAATTTGTTGGTATTTAATGTTCTTAAATTATAAATTAAGCAATCAATATATGCTTTAAAATGTATTTCCAGAAACTACCTAATCTAATAAATAATAATCTAACTTAATAACTCAAATATCACTTAAATCAAACTATTTGATCCTTAAACATAAATAATTTAAAAATAATCCTTCAATAATTCAATCAATTGTACACATTAATAAAAATAGATATAAATTTTTATTTTATTATTAATATATAGAATAAGATAAATCAAGGCAAGTTTAAGTTCATTTCAGCAATTTTCTGAAATAGATAAATAGTTTATTAAAAAAGAAATTTTTTCGATTTTCTTGGAATAAAGAACTTAAAATTTTGTTTAGTAGTATTTTATGTTTAAATCAAGAATATATTTATTTCTATTAAATATGTGTAACAGAATGGAATAATTTGAAATTTTTATAATAAAAATAATAAAATTAATAAGTATGAATATTTAGTAATAACCAATAACAAAGAATGAATAAAATTTTGAAAAAAATTAGAATGATACTTTTTAATATAGACTTCATAAATAGTATTCAGTCTAACAAAATAAGTGGTGCAAGGCAATTGCATTTAATAAAAATAGTACAATCTTAGCAATTGGCTGTAATGAAATTATAAAATTATATGAATTTAAAGAAGGGGATCTAAAATTATTTAAGAGCATTTAGGGTCACAGTTTTGATGTAAATTGTTTAAAATGGTCAAATTATTAAAATCAACTTATATCAGCTGGATATGATGGAAAAATTTTATTTTGGTCAATAAATTCCATAAATCATTAAAAATTAATAATGAAATTTGTAATACATTCTTTATCTATAACCTGCTTAATTATGAACACTCAAGAAAATTTTCTAATAACAGGGAGTATGGATTAAACAATTTAAATTATGAATTAAAATTATTAGAAATTTGATTGGAATACTTTTCAAGTTATAAAGGAACATGTTGATACAATATTTGCATTAAGCTTAAGTTAAAATTAGAAAAAATTGATCTCTTGTGGATATGATAATCTAATTATAGTTTTAGAAAATAATGGATTAGCTACTCAGAAAAACTATTGGATTGTCAAACAAAAGATTATTACAAATGTTCATGGATATCGATTATGCTTTTTAAAAGATTATTTATTTGCTTTTTAACCTTACAATAAAGAAGAATTGTGGATATTTGATGATCAGAATCTATAAAAACAGTTTAAAAGCTCAAAAATTATTCAAATTAAAAGTGAATGTGACGATTTTGCATCTTTATTTCCTTAATAGTTTATTCAAAACAAAAGAATCATCTTATCAAAAAATGGAAATTTTATTCATTTGATTAAATTCCTTGATTAAGATGACTTTTAAGTCATATAAGAGATTGATTTTGGAGATTAATGTATTTATGGATAACTGAGCCCCAATGGAAAGTATTTGGTAACATGGGATAATAAATCCAATTTTATCTAAATCAGATTGCTTGATGAATAATAATGAATTTATCTTTTTGATTTATAAATTAAATCAATCTTATTTTTAAATTGATCCTTCAGAACTAAATATTAAAAATTTTTAGAATGTAGATATAAATAAATGGGAATATATTCTAGCAAATTATATTTTTAAATTAAATTCTAAATCAACAAAAATTAACATTTTTTTTGATATTAAATAAGTATTCTAATAAATAACCTTTTATTTTAGAAGTTATAGTTTTTTAACTTTGATAAATAGAAAGATTATAATTTAATTATAATTTTAATTTAAAAGATTATGAATAAGTTTAGTTTTATTAATGTAAACGAATTTCTATGTTTAAAAAAATTCAATATAATTTCCAAGTCCAATATTTTTTAACAACTTTTAAAATGTCATTTTTAATTTTTGCCAATTTTTTTGATGAGCTATTCTATATTAAATTTTAAAATTTAATTTCCTTCACTACTTTTAATGATAATGCAGTATCGCCTTTTTCATACCTATTCTTTTAAAAAAAGCGTTTTAAAATAAGCGCATATGCAGAATCAGAAATACTAAATTATAACCTTTAAAATTAAATAGAGTATATTTTAGTTTTAAAAGGATAATTAAAAAATGTATAAGATTCCTCACAAGAAAAACTTTAAATCTAAAATAAAAGTGGAGAAAATTTCGATGGTTGTGAGTCTTCTGGTACCCAAAACCTTATTCTTAATAAACTACACTTTAAGCTCAGCTGGAAAAAATGAAATGAGATTCAAATTCTACAAGTTGGAATTCAATTGATGGTGGATCTTGAATATGTGATTATTTATTTGAATGGCTGAAATTGATGTAAGATTTAATAAGAAATCAAAAGAGATAACTTTACAGATAGGAATGAGTTTATAATTATTTGCATTTCAAGAAATAAAATTTATGAGACTTAGAGTACATTTTAAATGTAAAATATTTTAATTAGAATTACTCTTTAAACCATTTGATTAATAAGAATTCCTACAAAAGTTTAAAGACTGAGCAATTGATGAAATAATATAAACTTTTGGAAATTTGCTTCCCCCTTATTAAGTATTTTTGCATAAATTTATAACAGAGTTCCTAATATCAGAAGTCAAGTTTAATTAATTAGACATTACAATGAATTTCAAAAAAAAAGACATTTCAAATTAAGAGTTCATTTATTGTAAGATCATTCATATTTTTACATGAATATGTGCAAAATTAATTCAATATTTGATTTCTATTCTAATTTAAAACGTAAATTAAGAAAGAAAATTAATAATATCTTATTAATTTTTCTCTATCTGAAGATTTTATAAAATATATCCTTTAGGGATTGCTTCAAACACAAAATATTTAAATTTAATCATAGAATATATTGAATATTTTAATAATACCAATTTATACTATTAAATTTCTGAATAATAAAAATAATAAATAATAATAAATTAATATTAATTAGCCCGTATTTTAATTTATTAAAACATTTAATTTTATTATTTATTTATTCATTCCTATTTTATAAGTAATTCTATGGGTTCTTTAAATATTAGATCTTATTCTTGTTCTTGTTAAATCTAATCAGCAGGCCAGATAACTAATCTATTTGATTCAGGTATTTTTTCAGACACTATTTCACTAATATTTTTTGAAAATTTCTTTCCTAATTGGTGGCTATTTTATAAAATACGATTTCCAAATTATTATTCAAGAATAAATTGAATTCTTGAAATTTCATAAAGAATATTATTTAACCTACATTTTTCTTTTGCTCGTTTTAATAAAGTAACATATATTAATTGTAAGTTTTAAATCGGAAGTTGAAATTAATTAAAATCTTCTTTAAATTCAAATTTATTGAATATGTTGATTTTAATATTTTTAAATTCTGGATAGTACATTGATATTATATCATGAAACAATTAATTTTCTAGTAATTTATTATTATAATATATCGCCACATATTTTAACAAAAATATTAATTAAACTATAGAACCAATCTAAGCTAAGACCTATCCAAGTTTTGGCATTGTAATCTCTTCTTTGATTGATATATTGTCTATCCTAAAAAGATATGAACTAGAAATGTTCAAATGATAATTTCCATTTGAAATAAAAGCAACTGTATCTGGCATAAACTCTGAGCTGACTTCTTGATTAATTAATTCATAATTGTTAAGAAAGTTATAATACTTTTCATTCTTAAATAAAATTCCATCATCTATAATTGTTTCTTATTATTTTAACATAACCTAAGAATAGGAAGATTTTCGAGGATCAAAAGATTGGTAATATTGTTTAACAAAATTTTCTAATTTTTGATTAATATAATTAAATTAATTTAATCGTATTGTTAAGATTAAAAATCCATGATGTTTAGATAAATATTCGTTAATTATTTCCTAATCAGCACAATAACTTCCATTTTTTAAAGAACTATTTTTACATATTGAAAGAACTAATAAATATTCTTTCATTGTTTTATGATTCTCATCTTATTAATATGCATTATTTAAAATCAAAGATCCATTATTGACAAATAATGAGGAATAATCATATTCTTCACTATATAAAATAATAGGTTCTTCTTAAACTCTAAAATTATCCAATTTAAATAATAATGGAGTGATAATATTGTTTTCTTTCCTAAAAGGATCAATATCAGTTGTAAAATCTTAAAGGGTGATCTATATTAAAGGTTCAGACCATTAAAACTCTCCATAACCTTTTGTTTGTTATTTTGAACTAATGTTTGGAGGTATTTCGTTATTTATCCACATTACTAAAACAAATATTAGATAAGAAAAGCTGATGATACTCAAAAAAAAGGAAATCACTCCTCCAATTTTGCTTTGAAAGGTAGGATTATTTTTATTTGTTAGAAGAGATATTTACACTCCAAACAAATCAATTTTATCAAGAATATTTAGATATCTGCTCATTAAAATATTTTATATTAATTTGTAAATTATTTTTGTAACAAATTTAAATAATCTTCAATTTAATATACTTTATAAATTTTAGAAAAATAGGTTAATTAGATCGATAATTTCAAAAATTGGTCAGTTTTATTTGTTTAACATATAAATAAGTTTATTTTTGAAATTTTTAAAGGTCTATGTATTGCACTAACTGCTTCAAAGAAATATAAAACTATGTGAAGAATTCAAAAATTTTTTTGATTCCATTTTTTTTTCTTTTTTTTATTATTTTAATCATATAGTTAAACTTTGAAATCTTTTATTTTTAAGGAATCAAAGTAATTTGGAAGGAGACAAACTGCACAAATAATAATGTATAGTGTAATGAAAGAAAAACTTTCAAAATTAAATTTACATATCTCATAAATATTTCTAGAGACTGCATTTAGCAATATTAACTAGCCTAAAAAGAAGAGAAATCAATTAAAATTTATATGAATATCATCTTGAATTTAGTAGTTTTTAAAAGCTATATTGTAAACTCAACAATTATCTTACATTTATTTTAATAAGTCTGAAAATATAGGCGTGAACATAATTTGACTTTTTGATTGAATAATTATAAAAATTCAAAAAAAGTCCTTTAAATATGATAGACAATTAATTGAATGCATTGCATGAGTTTTTTTGATATTTAATATGTTATTGTTTAAATATCAAATCTTATAGATACTAGGATTTAATTAAATTCAATAAATATTGAATGCTAAAATCCTCACGTTATTTTATTTCTTAGACTAATTACTGCTACCATCAAAAATAGTGTTTCCTATCCACAGTTAGTTTATTCTTGCCTTTTAAATTTTTTACCACTCAACCTCTCTAAGCAATCCAATGCTACATTAATCACTTTGTATAAAATTAAAATAAAATAATATAATGATATATCTATTGTTATTATTTTTACAATAAAGACAAAATGGAAAAAATTTGATTATTTTTAAGTGAATCATTATATTTTTCGGTTGTTTTTCAAATATTGATAGTTAATTATATGAATTACCTTAATGGTTGATTTATAAATTATATTAGTTTATATTATATAGCTGTAATATCAAGCATGAAAATATTAACAAATAAATAAACATCTAAACAGTAAAAATTTAAACTATAATTTAATTTTAATGTTCAATAAAAGATTCAAAGTTACCTTTATTTACTTAAAAAGCACAAATGACCTAGGATTTTAAACTAATGCTTTCTTAAACCAAATATTTACAGTCTGATTTAATCTGTATTTGAATTAATAATTTTTGAGTATTTAATAACCTTAAAAAGATATAGTAATTTCTAAAATTAAATTAAATCAATTACAATCTTTTTTAAATAATTTAGATAATTGGCATCTATTTATATGCGTGAATGTAATGATATAATATTTTCAGTTGTTTTTTTTGAGACATATTTTTATTAAATAATTGATTTTACCAAATGAATTCAGAAGCTTTACTAAGAATCATCGAATCAAAAATAATTTGAATGATAGATGGGATATCTTATTAAAGGATTTTTAATTAGAAAGATTAGTGGTTGTGAATCATATGATATATGACTACAAATTAGGAATTAAGAATGGCAAGTAGGTAGATGGGATATTAAATATTAAAGAAAAAAAATGTAAATGAATATTTTTAGAGTAGTAGGAAGGTTATTTATCAAGGTGAATATAACACAAAGAAAATAAAGATAGGTAGATGGAATACTTTTTATTGTTAATCAGGAGAGAAAGAATATAAATAAATGCATAATTATTATTGGTTATGGATCATGAAAGTTCTTGTGGAATTAAGATGTATAGTTGGAGAGAGTTTTAGGAGAAATTTGTATATAACGTTGAAAGAACTTAGAATGGTGAGGATAATGGGCAAGGAGTAAAACTTGGTACGTCAGTATATAAGGAATAATTAGAAAAAAAATGGAAATTAAATATAATTATGATAATTGAATTTATTTTATTGCTTTATAAAATTTTATTACTGCTTCAATTCCAAATACAATAACATTTACCTTTTATAGCAAGTTTAAATCTCATCATTTTCTTTTAAATCTAAGATTTGATTTTTTTTAAATTCATTATGTTTCTCATAAATATAATAATTTCTTTAAAAAGATGGCTTATAAAAAGTAGTAAAATTTTGAAATTGGATTAAATGAATATATGGGAAAATAATTTTTAACTACTTTTTAGTAAGAGAAACTTTAGAATGGTAATTAAATATATATTAAAAATGGTGAAGTTATTAGAATGTAATCATTAAAATAATAAAAAATCAGTTTTGATTAAGGTTATCCTTTCTCTATACTATTATAAAACTTAAGGAATTTATAGTAAATAAAATACTTGGAATGGATTAAAAAACCAATATAAGTTTTAGAACATGATGTTTGGAGTGTAATTTGGAAAAATTATCAGCTTCCTGTCGGTGGTAAAGCTAAACTAAATGGATAAAAAATTGGGAATTGGACTGAATTATTTCAAAATTTTGGGGAGTGAGAATTATATTAATTTAGAAAGTAGTAGATTTTTCAGATTGGAAATTATAAAAATGGTCTAAAAAGTGGAAAGTGGATATTATATTTATAGAACTAAGAGATTTAGATGTAAAACTAGTAAATGTAATTTTTATAAGTGGAGGAGGATTATATGATGATTTTGGTGAAAAAACTGGTAGGTGGATTGAATTACATGAAAATTTTAGCAAGTACATAGGCTATTAAAAATAGTTATAATTAAATAAGTTATGATGGAGATTATAAAAATGGCATACAGTGTGGCTTTTGGAGTATGAAATGCAATCAAAATTCTGTGTAAAAACAATTTCTCATAAGAATTTTAGTGGTGGTGGAAATTATGATATTTATGGAATAAAAGTAGGGAAATGGGTAGAATTATATAATTAATTGTTAGAGTAAAATTTTTATTTGATTGCTTAGGAATAACTAAGTTCTCTTTGAAGGAGAATATTTTAAAGGAACCAGAATTGGGTTTTTTAAAATAATCTTTGAAAATAATACAATGTACATTTAGATATTATAAAAGTGGAGGTGGAGAATATAATTAAATTGGATAAAAAGTAGGTTAATGGGTTGAATTGGATTAATGTTTTTAAAGGTATTGTTAATCTCAATAAAATAGTGATGCTCAGGTTTATAATTTGGGATTTTATAAAGAAGACAGAAAATATGGAAAGTGGTAGTTATAATATTTAAAAAACTTCATGTATTTCAAAAAATAATTATTTTAGTGGTGGTGGAATATTTGATTTAAATGGTGAGAAAAATGGATATTGGATAGAAATAAATTAAAATTTTTATTGGTATCTTATAATTAAATCTATGAATTAAGTGATTGTTAATTAACTTTTCAAGGTGAATATAAAAACAATCAGAAAAGAGCAAGATGGAATGCATTATTAAATCATAAAATAATGTACAAATTTATGTTATTATTTAAATAGTGGAGGAGGGAGATATAATTAAAATCAAGAAAAGGTAGGAAATTGGATTGAATTACATGAAAATTATTGGGAGTATATAGAAATTTAAATCAATATGTTAGCGAAGCTTAAATAATATTTAAAGGGTAGTATTTCAATGGAATAAAAAGAGGAATTTGGATGACTATTTTTAATAATAAAATTATGTAAAATCAAATTTATAAAAAGCAAGTGGGGGAGGTAATTTTGCTAATAATGGAATGAAAATTGGAAAATGGATAGATTTATATGACAATTTTAACGAGTATTAATAATAAATTTGTTATAAGATTTTGTTAAGTAACTTTATTAGGTGAATATAATAATGGGATAAAATAAGGCTTTTGGACAATATATTTTGAAAATAATATTATGTAAACAAGTTATTATTATTGTAAAGTGGTGGTGGAGAGTATTTTAAGGATGGTTGTAAGAGAGGAAGATGGACTGAATTACATGATAATTTTGATAGGTTTTATACTATATTTTACAATATAATTCAAGCAATACTAAAGTTATAATAACTGGTAATTACTAAGATAATCGAAAAAATGGAAGATGGAATTTTTTTCATGGATCAAAAATTATGTATTAAAAAATTATGATTTCTAAAGAGGAGGAGGATTTTATGATGAGGATGGATATAAACATGGATAATGGGTAGAATTGGATGAAGATTTCAACTAAAGTTTGGTTGATCCATGTAAATTAACATTTTTTGGAGAATATGATCGAGGCGTAAAAAAGGGGAAATTTATACAAAATGAAATTGATTGACTAATATGGAAAAAAAATTATATTCTATTTTCATATTAAGACCACTATATATATGGGTATTTTTTTACTTTTGAAATATTTCATAAATTATAAATATTTAACCAAAATATTATTTATAAACTAATTTTTAGGATTGTGATTTTAAAATTATTTTAAACTTTTTCCAAAATGATTTTATTTGATTAAAATATAAAAAATAATATACTACCAATTATTTTATTTGATAATGTCTCTAATTAGGAAAACTATATCAATAGTTATTTAGTTTATGAAATTTTTCATTCAGAGTTTATAGATAATCATAGAAACCTGAAAGATAACTTATTAATTAGAATCATAAGAATTTTTACTAATAGATTGTTTAATAGAATGGCAATTCAATATTCACTAATATCAATATTTGGACATCTTTTACAACCTTACCGTTCTTCATAACTTTTATTCCAAATCAGTCTTGATTTTAATTTCAACTCTAAAACAAAACTGCCTATATTTTAAAAGCAATTCTTACTCGAAGGGAATGTCATCTCAGTCCTCCTGATCTAAATTTACAAATCCTACTGCATCAATTTCTTCCTAATGCACTTAAGAATTGAATTTTTCAATTAGCACAATGTCAACTGTTCAAATCTGGAATTTCATAATGCTTCTAGTGCAATTAATTTCTTTTTATTTCAAATACTTCTTATCATGATTTCTAATACTCTAGTTAATCATTTTCTCCTAACATTTTCACAAATTCTTCTACTTCAACCTTCTAAATCATAAAAATGATCTGATAAAACTGAAAAAGGTTGAAGTATAATTTATAATATATTAATCGAAAACTTTAAACTTTAAGAAAAGATTGCGAAGAAAATTAGACTGAAGACAAAAAAAGATCTTTATTTTTAATCAAAATATTTCAGTATTTAAAGAAATAGAATATATATAATAGCAATTAGAGAAAAGAAAATTAAATATTAAAATTAGAGAATCAAAATATTGAATAATTTAAATTTCTAAATTGGCAAGGAGCTCAAAATTCTATTAAAAATTTCATTAAATATTAAATACTAATCTGAAAGGGAGAAAATTTATGTGCAGAAAATTATTCTAATATTGAAGTGATTAAAATTGGATTATGGATTAACTCTTTGAATATTATTGAGAGTATAATAATTTATCATATTAATAATGCATAAATTATCTTTTATAATAGGTTGGAATTGATTCAAATTCTTATAAGTACCCAATAATGATTTCAAAGTCTTGAGTTAGTAAGGGTATGAAACAGATGATAATAAAAATGTTTGATAAGTGGAAAATGAAGAAAGATTATAATATTGTGAACAATAAGTGTGGAAATACAATAAGGCAATAAAATGAAGGGTTTGATGATGGAAATGAAAAAAATTATGATAGATGTGCGTAAATATGTTAAGTTGAATATATTTGGTAATATTATAAAGAAATACATAATAAATGAAATAAGATAAATAATATGTAAATTTGAATTTTAGTCAAAGGTTATATTGATGGGAGCTTCATTAAATTTGACTCAAACAATCATAACTAAAATAGAAGGGGTAGAAAATAAAATACTAATCACAATGAAAAATCAAATTTTTAATTATTAGAATTCTCCTCTATTTATATTAAATAATGAACACTTAAAATGTTTCGAATTTGTTTAAGTCAACAATTCAAGAAAAAGGCCTCTTAGAGATTGAAATTGACAGCTGGAATAAAATCTAAGAGAGAATTGTTAAGACTAAAATTAGAATAGCAATTGCTTAAGATAATTATTTGCTCTATTTTTTGAATGGAGTAGTGTATAGAAAGTTACAATAATTTATAAATTTAAATAGGGAACAAATTGTTGACGATTCTCAAAATCTAGAAATATTGACAAACTTAGACTAGATCAAATATTTGCAATGGCTTGGAGAATATAGAGAGAATAAGAGAAAATTTGGTAAGTGGATAGCTACTTGGAATATGGAAGTTGTTAAAGATGTAGGTGGGTATTATGATAATGGATTAAAATAAGGTTTATGGAATGAACCAATTAAAAATTATTGTAGGTAGATATTGATAAATAAACTAAAAATAGTTAATCTCAAGTCTATGAAAGAGGAATATACTTTGAAAATTAAAAACGTGGAAGTTGGATATTTCTTAAGGAGAACAAAAGATTGTATAATTGATCTATTATCTAGTGGTGGTGGTTAGTACAATAATTAAGGTTAGAAGATTGGTAAATGGATTGAATTGAATGATTAATACAATCACTTGTCTTAAGTCACTTGTAAAGGTGAATACAAAAACGGTAAAAGAGTTGGGAAATGGGAATATTATATGCTTTAGGGAGAATACAAATTGATGTAAAATAATTATATTAATAAAACTAATAGTGGAGTTGGAATATATTAGGAGATGTAGGAGGAATCTATTAAAAATGGGAAGTGGATTGAATTAGGGGATGGATTTAATCTAGGGTCTTAAGTAATTTTGATAGGCAATTATAGTAATGGAAAAAAGGTGGGTAGTTGGAACTTTTATTGGAATGATAATGAAAGAAATGAATTAAAGTAAAATTATTAATTATTTGATTAGAGGTGGAGGATTATACGATGGTTCTATAAAGATAGGAGTATGGAATGAATTAATAAATAATTTTGGAAGTAGACAAGGCTAATCATAGATTATTTATAATGGTGAGTATCATAATGACAAAAAAGTTGGCAGTTGGAATATTTTGTATTAGGAATTTTGGGAAAAGAACTTTTAAAAAATGTAAGATTACAAAATCAATTTTTTAGAGGAGGTGGTTTCTATAATGATTAAGGTTCAATAAAAATTGGGAATTGGATTGAAGTAAGTGAAAATTATGGGAGTAAACGTGGATAATCATTTGTAACTTATAATGGCGAATATAAAAATGATTAAAAGGTTGGTAGATGGGATATTTTGTATAAATATTATAATGATGGATGGAAAAAAGAATAAATGTAAATATTAATAGGAAACTTATATTTAGTGGTGGTGGTTAATATGATTTAAAATGCTCTTTTAAGATCGGAATGTGGATAGAAGTAAGTGATGGATTTGAAATGAATATGTAAGTAATTAATAAAGGTTATTATTAAAACGGTGAAAAAGTAGGTAGATGGGATATTTTGCATCGAGAGTGGGGTAGAGAAAAGTTTGAGAAAATGTAAGAACAAAAAAAATTATTTAAGAGGCGGAGGATCTTATGGCGAAAAGGGCTCATTTAAGATTGGAGAGTGGATTGAGTTAGTTGATGGTTCTATAGTATCCTATAAATGCGAATATAAAGATAGTAAAGTAATTAGTATTTATTAATGAATATTGAGGAAAATACGAGTATTATGATAAATGATTGAATTTGAGAAGTTTTTATATGAAGTTTAAATTTCTAATTTATTAGTTGTATTTGATAGTCTATTTTTTTTTTAATTACTATTTGAATATTCCTTAATTTTTAAGCAGAGAGGAAAAACATGAAAAAAATTTACAGGATATGAATTATTTAGCTATTAATTTCCATGAGTTAGGGTGGCTTAATTTTATTTTTCCTTTTTGAAGTA